CAAACGTTCAAAATAAGAATAACTTTAATTTTTTCGATCCTAGTAAACGTAATCTATCTGTAAACGTGCATAGTTGGTCATTTCTTTACTTATTCTTCTTATGAGTTCTTATAGCTTCCGTTATGATGGTAGGAATGATGTTTTAGCGTGATTTGTCCGATGACCTCATTATATTGGCGCGTGAATCGCACCACACCCGAGCCCGATAAGTACAATTACTGTGGATAAAGGATTTTATATAAGTGAAAAAGATTCTACAACACAAGCCTCATACTATGACTCACAAAGTCGTCAAGGTATTCATATAGCATGATAAACTGTTTTCTCATTATAATTATTTATGGATGGATAAACAAACAACAAACGGAGAAGCGGGAAAACAAGGATGGTGGTTTGCGCAATCAATAGAAAATTTCAGTTGAGTAAAGCAGCTACATTTGGAATATTTTGAATTAAAGTCTTACTTGAGGAGCAGTTTGCCCTGGTCGAACCGCAGCGCCGTTCATGTGACCAAACTTGATTACATCGCCTTCCATGATCTGCATGGTGCTGTTCACCTGGAACGGAAAAAATGTAATTCCAAGCTGCAAAGCAATTACTGCTTGAATAGAAAACATACTAAGACCGTAGTCATGGTAGCAAAAAGCTAATATATAGTTATGGTAAGCTTCAAAGCGCTAATTTGTACTCGTTTCAAAGAGAAACAGAAAATACAAAGGCTGGATTGCTGAAATATATATATGAAAGCAGTTGCTACAATTCTGCAGTGTGCCCATTTGCTAATTTTCGAAATCATCATAGAAGACATCATGCGATGAAGTCATGACAGGTCACCAAATTATTCGGAAAGCTGAGAGAACACGATGACGATTGGGCAGGTAACCGGGTTTCTACATAACTCGTCAACGAGGTATCTTCATCTCGCTCGACGTCAACAATGAGACGAATAGATGGCGTGCCAGCCAAGCACAATTTAATAGCAAGGGTATTTCCAGAGAATAGTAAAAAAAGGCACGTACGCAATAACAACGTTTCAAAAAAAATCTGCTCATTAGAAGCAAGCATAGAGGTTACCTTTAAACAAACGGGATGGCACACTCTATCCCAGGACATCCTTGTAAGGGACATCCCGTGAGCCGTTCCCGTCACGGAAATAGTAAATGAAACGATGTTTGCAAGTATTCGAGCTTCTTTGTTGATTGGCAATGGCGCTGACTTAACAGTAAGGCAAAAGGCGGATGTGTTCATATACAAAAAATATGGTCGCGAATTTCGCGGCGAGCTGCTGCTTTGAAAGGGTAATTGATTTTACGCGTTTAAATCAAAGCCCACTCCCCACACCTGTAGCTGGTGGAGTAATCCGAAGCGCGAAATCGTTCTCTCCAATTGTTCCAAACCCTCGTTAATAAATCCCAATGACAAAAAAAAGCGAAACAATCATGTTTAGCAGAATGTTCCAAAACAAAGTAGTGCCTATATCAAACTCTTGTTCTATACTTTGTTTAGAGATTCAACAAAAGGAAATCTGCTGTTGCAAGCAATAATCTGGAACGAAGCGTACGCCTCAAGTGACGCATAAAGCTATCTACCACAAACAACAATTATCTCTTCTACGTTGGCTTTCTCCGCTACTTCCTCTTCAATGAGGCTGCCCTCTTCTTAATCAGAAAAACGGAACTAATGTTAAAACAGTGTAAAGAAACGCTCGACTCACGAGCGTACCATGAAAAAATAAAAGCATTCATATGATACTGAGACATTCTCGAAGAGAAAATGCACGAAGAGAAGTTAATAGGACCCTTAGACATCTAACGAGATATGAACCTTTTTGCTTTTTGTTTACGGTCAAGAAAAAATGAATATTAACAGTATAAGTAACAAATAAATAAACAGTGGAAGAGAATGAGGAAGCAAAAAATCTGCTTACCCTTTGATCGTTGATATATGTTCCATTGAGTGAACGATCATTGATGTGATATTTTTCAATACGACCGCTTGCTCCTTTCACACCAATGATATCTGCGTGATCTCTGGAGATCATATTCGATGAGCTGCAATGAAATAAATGAAACAATGCCACGGAATGCGTCGTTGATGAGGGTTTCAGAGGGATTTCTCGAAACAGTGCTCCTTCTCATTCTAGTATTATTTATTTATTTATTTATGTGCGCGTTAGTCAACGCGTTTATTATGCGCACCACACACGTATCGCTAAAGTTGCAAGCACTTGCTCGTGATCAATGGAACAATCTAACTAAACATTAAAACGAAGAGATAACTGTCAAGTAGAAAGATGGAGATAATGGAATGAAATGATAGGGTATCAGCGGAGAACTCTATTCATGACCCCCTCTAAGTGTTGCTCCAACAGAAAAAGGCTTTACAGCGTCAAGATATTATCAGATCAAGTAGACTTCCAGATTATTCGTCAGTCGACAACTGCTCATGAAAAAGTGAAAAAAATAGTCTGTTGTAAAAATCAACAAGAGCAAAGGGTTATAGTGGACTAAGGTGGGGTTTTGGACAATTGTTCGCGTGGCAGGCATTACAACAAGAATACGGGTAAAGACATCATCTCAAAGCCACTGTAATCGTACTCGGACCGATTACGATAGTTCATCTTGAAAGGTAATGAGTACAAAAATTGCCAGAAAGTAATTAGCCTGGAAATTCCAGTGAGCAAAGTTTTTCACAGTGCTTCAATTCATTGTAAAATCACCTAAAGATAACTCATCGCCACCCCCTGAAGGAACACACCAGGGATCTCTCAGTCAAAAATAAGGGACCACGTTCTGCCAACCTATTTAGTCAAATTCTGACTTGCTGAACATCGCTTATCTTCGAATATACGGATATAACAAGAAGATAATTATTCAGTTCAAACAAAAACGAAAGTGAAGGATGCGAAACATTCACATGGATGGATGAGGTCGAAGAGACTTTGCAACAAAACTGCTGACTGGAAAACATATGTTCAGCCTAATGTATTTATTAAAGGGAACGAGAAGCGAATATGAGAATGTTGACTGACTAAACACACTATAAAATGAGGCATTATACGGAAGCCATACCTGAAAACGGACGAAGTCAACACGACGTCGCATTTTTCAGGATTCCTTCCAAACTTCGTATGAGTATCAAGTCTGAAAAACAACATCATAGCAAATTCGTGGCCATTTTAAACGGACAAATGAGTGTATAGGAACAACTGAAAATCCCAAGGAAAGACAGTAATATGCACATCGGGTAAATAATCGGTAGCCCAAAGAGTTTTCCCTATGTAATTTTTTTGCTTACACATTCCTCAACTCTAATTTTATTAATAACCTTTGCAGAAAAAGCTTGGGCTCCAGTTAAACGAGTGCAACATATACAAACGTAACGCGGTGCAATTGTAGTTGGGAGGGAGGAGTGAGCCCACCTCTCTTTTCCAACACTAGAGCACAGAGAAGAACGATAGTGGGCTCTGGGGGCCTATAATGGCGCTTGGAAACGCTTTTAGCAAAAGGAATATAGTTTCTTGTTAAAATAAGCTTTAGGAGGGGAGCAACGAGGTGGGCGAAATGATTACTTCGCAGGAAAGTTGGGATGGAGAAAGAATTGAACACTCTGTTCACCATTAATTATTTCTTCTCGAGAGTGTAAGCGGTGGCGAGCTAGCGTGCTATTCCTGCTGAGATAGCACTCACCCACCCAGCGTGGTGTTCCTCCTCTTCTTCTCTAGGCTCAGGCGGAGCTACTTCCATTGGCCAAGGAGGGTTTGTGAGCACCACTGCAGTTCCCTAAGTCGAGTACCCCACTTTCCTGTGCTTTAGTGCTTAGTATTAGATACGAGGTGTGGTCTACTCCCCTTCCAACTACATTTCCATCCATAAGGCTGTGCAAACTCATCGAACATAAGAATGTAACAAGTTACACTCATGCTTGAGATGCATCAATAAATGTCGTTAATTTCGTGCTCGTAAACATGCAATTGCATTAACGTTTGCGATTCAATAATGCCGCTAATAAGACATAATGAAGTTCTATTAGAACCAGTAACATAACCTTAAGTAACTGGCTAATGTGATCAAGGGCAGAGAGCTACAAATAAAATCAGTTCCCTCATAATAGATGTCGATTGGATAACACGCTACTCACTATCCGGTCCAGCCATGTCCTATGTAGGCTTAGGGGAATAGGGGGAATTCGCAGAACAAAAGGACCAAAAAAGTATACTTTGAGAAGCCGAAAGAAAAATCACTTTAACAGGAAAAGGGTATCAAGTGCACTGAATGAAGTGAAAGGCTCTAAGGCGGGAAATCTTAGGGAAACGTGTAGGCGATCACACATGATGCAGATGAATCCGCAGAGTTTAAGCCTGGGCCGCGGTCATCCTTCTCGTGGAACTCGTGACGAGTTTTGGAAGTGCAAATCAACATGTATGCAAAAGTAGGACCATATGATTATGCTTTGCGTTGGCGGCCAGCGCGTCAAAATCGATAATAGCGCAATGGCTTCTTTCAGACTTCAACGATTCATCCGACCGTCCGTCCGTCCGTCCAACGCGTGCGTGCTGCGACGGCGGCGCCTGACCGTTGTTGACATCACTAGATCACGTGCCAGCGCTGTCAACACTACTCTAGCGACCGCCGTCGCAGCACGCACGCGTCGGACGGACGGACGGTCGTCGAAGTCTGAAAGCGGCCAATGGTGAAACAAAGTGAAGTGTCTGCAGAACTTCACGAACAACATGTTCCATTCAACGGCAAAAGCTTGTTCCAATTTATATCCTGTTCACTTCACATACACAACGCATCGAAAATGCGAAATTGGACAAGCACATAATTCGGGCTGGGTAAAGTCGCGGCTCTGGAGGTGGGACTGAGTTGCATTATAGCCACGCTTTCAGGAAAGGGCTCACAAGCGGATGACTGTGAAGGATGATGAAGGAGTTCCACATTCTATTATTGGGCTGTGCACGGTAGGTTTGGGACTTTCCCGTAAATATTTAATCAATCTCTGAATTTTGAGAGGCTGTAATTAACAGCTTTCTCAATATCTTTTGGTATTCGCGGTAGTGTTACGGTATCTGTGGGTTTACGTTTCACACCAAGTGCTTTTTGATTTCTCTCCTGTTGCGTTCACAGTACCCACGCCAGCGTCGGTGTCGATATCCCGCACGTTGGTGACTATAGCTGTGCCGGACAGTTCCGAGGCGACAGTAACACGTGTACCGCCTGGTTCTTGTTAGCGTATTGACAGTTATTACAAATAACAGGTTTTTCATCAACTGCAGAATTTTTTGTTGGCGATGACTTTGCTTTCTCATAAAAATGCTTTTTGTTCTTTCCTTATATTAACTGCTAAGGTCGGGGATCACGCGTTTTCTTCGCCCCTGTCCGCGGTCTCAAAACCGTTTTTCGATAATTAGCAGTAAGGCTACACCGCCTCACAAACGTAGCCCATGCGTTCTTGCAAAGGCGATGGCCACTGCCAACGCTGCTACGTCGGCGTGATCACCTTAACAATTTGCTCATCGCAAACGTTACAGGCTATCTAGGGAATCTGATCTCGATCCCCAACCCTCGTCGATTCATTCCCTGCTACACGTCAAATCATTCATCAGCTACCCCTCCTTTCCCGGCGCTGAATCTGAACTAGTTCAGCATAGTTCGTCATGAAACACGTTTTCTTCGAAGAATGATTCAGCCGAGTTCATTGATAAGTAAAGGTCAAGAAACATTCACGTAAGACGGGCACTTCGATCGGTCAGGGTCAGTGACTTCAATGCAGTTCCGCACTCTTCCCTGGATCACTACAGCTATATTCATCCAAAATGATCAAAAAAGGCGTTGTGGCGTTAATCAATCCCGTCCGAGAGATGCGCCCACTCATTTGACTTCCAGTCAGAATCGTAGTGGCATATTGAATGTGTATGTGGCCTATACAACGATTTGCGGTGGCCAGCCAATGAACACGTCAGTGCTTTTATCCTCCCAGACGAGTCTGGTTCTAATTAACCGACCCCGGAAAGATGGATGGCTTGATTGGCCAAGGTGAGTATCGATCCGGGATTTGAACCCGTGACCGTACGTGTGAGATTGTGTGCCACTTGCCTTTACACCAATTATTCCATCAGTAAAAGCTAGGCAGGTATGCCTCTCCCCAGACCCTCATCCTGGGAATTCCCTAGTTAACTCGTAACAAAGTTGTGTTGGAATCCCATGTTTACCAAAGATGACATGTTCGATGGTGAAATATACGAGGCGAGTCCCGTTGCGTCCCATTTCAACATGTTAATTTCGTTTTTGAAGCGTTGAAGAATGATCACGTGCAGGAGGGTGAGCGTTGACAGAACAGTTCCTTCCGAAAAAAGTCTGTCACGTCCCTCCCTCCCACTTCACCCCTCACAGTCTGTGGGAAGATGAGCCATGGGTGAATCTCCCATACAATAGCGATTCCCAACTTAGACCTCACTTTTACAAATTTACTTAGCTAATCTTTTCTTTTTCTATAATATTTGTGACCCTTTACTCTATTCAATACTTCAAGCTGTTTCAACTCTAGCTTTCAATCGTAATGGTGCAGTACTGCTGTCAAAACATCCCGTATTTTTATATTTAGGACCGTTTCCGATAGTTCTTTTTTCCATTTTTTATATTTTTTCATTGTGTTACGGCTGCATTGATTGCATTACGTCGCGGTGTATTCTCCATAAGTCTCAGTGAGAGATTTCTTTCTCAAAAAGTACCCGGTTACGTACCCAGTTTTTAAACATGATATCTAGCAAGCTCCTAGTTTGCTTGCCATCACAAGTATTGAGTTCTACACGACAGGCCTACGTGCAACACGATACAGCACTGGTGCGGTCAAACCATTAGCCGGTTAGTATTTCGGTGCAAGTTTGCTCGTAGACTCACAATAAAAGAGCACGATGATCACAGTAGGTTATTTGGCCACAGAATGAACAGAAACGACTGTATGCTTTGCGAGAACATTTTGAATGAAAATATTTCACCGAATATCTAAGCTGTTTAATATATAACGCTAAAAAATATG